CACACACACACACACACACACACAAGGTGCGGTCTTTGGTGACCCGGGCGACGAGCAGTCCCGTATATATAGTGTCTGAGCTGTGTGTGTCATTTCATATATATACATGTAGGCCTATATAATATATATGTGGTCTGTCTGGGGCAGAGAGACAGGGCTGCGGTGCCCATCCCTCTCTTAACTCTTAACCATAGGCCGATGATGTCCACGAGTATGATGGGATATTTTTATACGCCTGTGAGTCGTGGACACTGACAGCAGACTTGGAGAAAAGGATTCAGACAATAGAAAAGAGATGTTACCGCAGACTCCTTGACATCTCGTACAAAGACCACATTTCAAATGCTGAGGTACGAAAGAGAACCTCCAACGCAGTGGGACAGCATGAAGACCCACTGACCTCAGTGAAGAGACGAAAATTAAAATGGTACAATGTATGGGCCTGTTACAAGATCCACAGGACTTACCAAAACAATCCTACAAGGAACCGTGCAAGGAAAGAGAAAGAGAGGAAGGCAGAGCAGGAGATGGGAGGACAACATTACAGAGTGGACAGGGAAGATCTCCCATCTCAACCCCCAAAAGGCTGTTATTACACAAATTGCGTTTCACATCCAAAAGTTAAAGAAAAATAGAACTATGACGCCATCAGTCAAAGTGTAAGGCTATCGCAACATAGATCACTCCCTGTGACGTAGAGCTCTTTCCATCCAAGAGAAACTGCTGTTTGTGTCTGGGGCTTGTAAACAAAGCAAAGGCGGCAAGCAGTAACAGACGCTCAAACCATCACGGTAAATGTGTAGCTAAAGTAGATCTAGATCTAGTGTTTGCTACATTAAGTCTAGATTCTAGATTTAGATCTAGATCTATCTATCGCCATAGGATAACATGAACACTGTTTTTGTCGATTTTGCTTTTGCTAATCTAGATCTAGATTCTAGATCTATACTCTAGATATCTAGATCTAGATCTACATACAATCTAGATCTAGATTATAGATCAAGATAAATCTCTAGATGACGATGACGATGATGATGGTGGTGATGATGATGATGATGATGATGATGATGATGATGATGATGATGATGGTGGTGGTGGTGGTGGCGCTGGTGATGGTGGTGGCGCTGGTGGTGATGATG